GAGGAGGAGAAGCAGGAGGGGGAGGATGAGGATGAGGAGCAGTCCTGGCCCCTCCCTGGGCCTCGTCCATTCTCTTTTTCTTCCCTCCACAGATGGACCCGCCTCAGGACCTGGCCGGAGGCGCTTTCTGATCAGAATCTTGAGGCAGACCCCGCCTTAGCGACCAGGATGCCTCGTGAGGCAGAGAAGGCTTAAGACACCACCAAGCACACCGATCCAGGATTTTCGACGACGATGACGACGGCGGTGACGACGGCTAGGGGGACCGGGGAGGTGGGGGGCGGAGGACGACGAGAGAGGGGGCGGAAGGACAGGGAGGAGTCGGAGGAGCAGTGCCCCCCGACCCCCTCTCTCCCAGGTCCCTCCTCCTCCCCCCTCCTCGCCCTCCTCGCCCTCCTCGATCGACGAGGCCTCCTCCCCTCCCCCTCTTCGCCCTCTTGCTGCCCCGCCCCTCCCCCCTGGGGGCATCTTCGCGGGGCGGCGGTCCTGTGCGGCCTCTCGCGGCGCCCCGCAGAGATGGGCGCGCGCCTCGTCCAGGGAGCGTGGCTCGGCGGGGCCAGTGCACGCAGGGAGGGTGCCATCGTTCGCTTTGCCGATCTCCTCTCCTCTCCGCTCCTTCTCCTTTTTCGCCTCCTCCTCCTCTTCCGCCTCAACCTCCGCTTCCCCTCCTCCTCCTCGTCCTCCTCCTCCTCGTCCTCGAACGCTTCCGCCTCTTTCTCCTCCTCCTCCTCCTCCTCCTCCTCCTCCTCCTCCTCCCTTTGCAGTGTGCCTTTGCCACCAACTCTTTTCCGCCTCCGTTTCCTCTTTCTCCTGCTGGTGCTGCTGCCGATCCTACTCCCTGAAGAGGGGGAGGATGAGAAGGGTGGGGGGTGGAGGTACATGAGGAGGTCACAGGGGGGGATATTGGGTGAGGAGTACGGAGAGGGGAAGGGGGTTGGAGGGTGAGGGTGAGGGTGAGTTCGAGGAGGGCTGGGAGGGCGAAGAGGAGGAGGAGGAGGCGGAGGAGGAGGAGGAGGAGGAGGAGGAGGAGGAGGAGAAGGAGGGAAGTTGAGGAGGCTGCTCATGAGGAGGAGGAGGGGGACGATGAGGGGGAGGAGGAGTGCAGGAGGGTCGAGGGGGAGGGGGATTGATGAGATGATGCTGCTGATGATGATGATGATGATGATGATGATGATGATGATGATGCTGATTCTGATTATGACGATGATGCTGATGATGATGATGACGATGGTGGTGATGATGGTGATGATGATGGTGTTGGTGGTGGTTGTGATGGTGATGCGTAATGATACTGCTGATGCTGCTGCTGCATTTGCTGCTGATGATGATAATGCTGGATGCGTGGTGATGGTGGTGCATGATGATGTTCGGAACATAACGATGCATGGTGATGATGATGATGCTGCTGCGGATGCTGCTGCTGCTGATGATGATGCCGATTGTGACGATGATGTCGCTGATGCTGATGCTGATAGTGATGATGATGGTGATGATGATGATGCTGGATGCATGATGGTGGTGCGTGATGATTGTGATGATGATGATGATGATGCTGATGATGATGATGATGATGATGATGATGATGATTGATGCTTGATGCAATGTGACTATGCGTGATGCTGATTATGATGATGCGAGTGATGATGGTGATGGTAAGATTACTGATGCTTATGATGATGCTGATGATAATGCGTATTACTATGATGCTGATAATGGTGATGCTGCTGCTGCTGATGATGATGATGACGTTGCTTATGATGATGATGATGATGATGCTGATGATGATGATGATGCTGATGATGATGATGATGATGATGACGTTGCTTATGATGATGATGATGATGATGATGATGATGATGATGATGATGATGATGATGATGATGATGATGATGATGATGATGATGATGATGATGATGATTATGATTATGTTGTTGTTGTTGTTGTTGCTGTTGCTGTTGCTGCTGTTTTTGTTGTTGCTGTTGTTGTTGTTGTTGTTGCTGTTGTTGTTGATGGTGATGATGATGGTGGTGGCGGTGGTGATGGTGATGATGTTGATGATGAGCTTTCATTTCTAAAGACAATTTTTGTTGATCCCCCTTCTGGTGCACCGTGTGTTTTTCAATTGAAATGCTCCTCCCAGGGCTCGCACTTGGTTTTACTAGGAAATTCTGGTGCTCAAATTGGCCCCCAACCCCCGGGTTGCAACAGCAACGGCTCCCGCCAGATATTTCTTCACAAATTCTAGACGCTTCGCGTATCCTCACCAGCCCGTCCAGAAACGACGCCCAGGCGAGTAGAGGGTCGTCCTGAGGGGCTTTTCGGCGTCTTGGGTGCCTCGGGGGGGCCTCTGTGGGCCGTTCGGGATCCTCTTTGGGGCCTCCTGGGGCCTCTTGGGGCCTCTTGGGGCCATCTTGGGGCCTTTGGGGGCCTCCTGGGCGCTTCTTGGGGCCATCTTTGCCCCTTGGGTGCCCCTGGGGGGTCTCTTGGGGCCTCTTGGGTTGGGGGTCTTTTGGGGGCCTCCTGGGGGCCTCTTGGGGGGCCTCTTGGGGCCATCTTGGGGCCATCCTGAGGGGATCTGTCAAAGAAAGCGGAAGCACTAATTAGCGTCGCTCCTGGAAAGCCTCTAAAATCGCCTCCTGAACCGCTCTTGGAGGGCTCTTGGAGCGCTCTTGGGCGCTCTTTGCGCCGTCTTCGGGCTTTTTTGGGCCCTTCTTGGAGCTATCTTGAGCCATCTTGGAGCTATCTTGACGCCTCGGGTGGGCATCGGAAGCGAAAGCGCGAGAACGCCAAAAACATTGATTTTCCCTAGGGTTTTGAAACATTTTGGCTTCTTGGGGGCATCCGAGGGGAGCTCTAGTGGACACTTAGAGCCGTCTTGGGGCGGTCTTGGAGCGTCTTGGAGCATCTTCGGAACCATCTTGAGGCATCTTGCGCTATCTTGAACCAGCTTGGAGGCGATCTTGGGCTCCCTGAGGCCCTCTTGGAGTCGTCTTGGCTCATTTTGGACGCTCCAACGCGTCGCGGCCCCCCCTGTCCAGGTCAGTGGGGAGGGGGTAGGGGGAGGGGTAAACCCCTCCCCGGAGGGGAAGAAAGAGGGGTGGAAGAGGAAACGCTCTAAACTACCGACGCCCAGAGGGCTGGTGGGATTCACTCACAAACGAGGCTCCCGCCGGATACTTCCTCCATATTCAGGCCTGAGGCGCCCAAAAGTGACGACAGTTACAGGTTTGCCGAGATGATTCATGTGAGTGGCCACGAAATGATAGCTGAGTGAATGGCGATAATGCTGTTGATGATGATGTGTGATGATGATGGTGAATAATCGATGGATGATGGTATTGGTGATGGTGATGGTGATGGTGATGATGATGATGATGATGATGATGATGATGATGATGGTGATGATGATGATGAGTGGTGATGATGATGATGATGATGATGATGATGATGATGATGATGATGATGATGATGATGATGATGATGATGATGATGATGATGATGATGATGACGAGTGCTGGTGACGCGGTGTTGACATTGACGGTGCTGATGATGATGAGTGAGTGTTTAGTGATCGAGTGAGTGAGTGTCTGAGTGGGTGGGTGAGTGAGCGAGTAAGTGAGTGGGTTCTTGTTCCTGCGCCGGGTGCCCAGAGAAAACAAGAACCCCACTTTGGATGTGGGAAAAAGAGAGCCCAGGGCTGGAGGAGAGGAGATGGCTGGGGTGCCGTGGGGAAGCCCCTGCACCCCTCCCGCCGCCCGTAGGAGCCGCCCCGGGGCTCGTGGCGCCTTTGCAGTACGAGGCGCCCGTTCCCTCGTCGTCATCGTCGTCGTTGTTGTCGTCCTCGTCGTCCTCGTCGTCGTCGCCGTCGTCGTCGAAGTCGTTGTCGGTCGTCGGTCGTCGTTCGTCGTTCGCTGTCGTTCTAGGAGGAGGAGCAGGAGGAGGGGGAGGAGGGGGAGCGGGAGATGCCGAAGGAGTTTTGTATCCAGCTGCCTGCGGCAAGTCCCGACAACGTGCCAGCCCAGCATTCTGGGTGGCGACGGTTCGAGGGTGGGAGGGCCGTGATGACGACGACGATGATGATGATGATGATGATGATGATGATGATGATGATGATGATGATGCTGATGCTGATGCTGATGCTGATGATGATGATGATGATGATGATGATGATGATGATGGCGATGACGACGATGATGATGATATTGATGACGCCGATGATGACTCCGATGATGATGATGATGATGATGATGATGATGATGACGATGATGATGATGATGATGATGATGATTATGATGATGATGATGATGATGATGACGATGACGATGATGATGATGATGATGATGATGATGATGATGATGATGATGATGATGATGATGATGCTGACGATGATGATGAGGATGCTGATATTCATACTGATGATGCTGATGATGATTATGATGATGATGATGCTGATGATGATGATGCTGTTTTTTCCTCGACGTCAGGACCAATATCTGATATCAAAATATGGTATACACTGAAACCAGACTTGAGAGATCCGTCGCAGAGAGCCGACTGTCTCGTGTTGCCCCGCTTGGGCCAGACTGCCAGGGTGCTGCTCGGAGGGGCCTCCTGCGCAGCGCGTGCCTAGCAGCGTCGAAATGCTAGCTGAATAATATTGGCCGCTTCGTCTTCGGCATTGAACTCGGGTGGGGTGGGGCCTCCACCTCACGCAGCTCCTCTGCATGTGCTGGCACGGCAGGGGGGGGGGGGGTGGAGGCACGACGCAGGAGGGCGGGATGTGACCGTGGCCGTGCTGCTACTGGCAGGGAGGCTAAATTGACACGGCGTGGACTCGCCTCCTCTGCGCTGTGGCCTGCGCTGTGGCGTGCAGGCTCGCTCTGGCAGAAAGACAGGCTCGCTCTGGCAAAAAGGCGGGTTCACTGCTCGAGCGTCTCTAGCCAGTGGCCTACCTCCTCCTCGGGCCAGCCCACTGGGGCCACGCCTCGGTGGTGGACCGCCTGGCCCTCCCACATGGGCGCGCCGATCACCAGCTTCTGCTTGGTGTCATCGTAGCGGTGCCCGAGCCCTTCGAGCCCTGGGAGGGGCCCAGTGGGAGTCGCCACGTCGCTCTCCGCTTGGGCGTCGCCCCCCTGTCCAGGGAGAGTAGGCGTAGAGGAAACATTAGCCACTCGGATCGCCCGCGTGGGCGCTACATATACTGCTGCTGGGCGCTGTGCTGCTTGTAGCCGTCGAAGTGGTCGATGTTTAGGTCTGCTGCGTAGGTCGCTGCCCGCGATGTGTTCCACCGACTGGCAGTTGGACGCGCTTACATCAGGGGTGTCCTCGATGGCGGGCGAGGGACGGCATCTGGATGGCGCAGGGCGCGGCGGGGGAGCACTTGGAGTGGCCGAGCGCGTGGTGATCCGTTTCTGGCACGACCCGATGTTGCACTCGAAGGTGGGGTTTGTCTCGTCGTCGGTGTCCGTCCCGTCGTGCGTTGCCGCCGAGAGGAGGGAAGAGGTGCTCACGCTGGCCTCGGGGGGAGCCCACTGATCCATCTTGACAACTCGGAGGGCCTCCTTGTGTTTGCTAATCTCGGCGTAGGCGTCGTTGAGAGAAGACGCACGGTGGGCGCCCGTCTGGAGCCCAGCAGCAAGTAGGCCATAGTCCCAGCGGATGTTGTTGTTCGTGATGTTGGCGCCGCTGACAGGCATCTTGATCTGCATAATCATGGGGATGTGGTCGGCAACATGTAGTAGGCTACTTAGCTTGGTGTGGATCTTCCAATTCAGCTTCACGTGCTTCACGATTTCCATGAAGTTGTCGTGGCCGATGAAGTAGTTGATGCTTGATCTGGCTTTGTTGTGCCCGTAGTAGGTATTGCCGACGTCGATGTGCATGTTGATGGCTGTCAGCTGGTGCGTCAGGAACTTGTCGTGAATCAAGCGTCCGAGCTCGGTCTCGTCGCTGGGTTGGTAGCTGCCGATTGCGTTGTCGGTGCGGCGCTGTCGTGATCGTCGTCCTGGCCCTTGGTTGAGGTCCGTGAACAGGATGGGCATGACGCGAATAGGGATGTCGGTATGTGCCTGCGGTACCCAGCTCCATGGTCGGCGGCATCCTGCTTTCCAGTGTTGGTAATGACCTGCTCCGTTCGGCCGCGGTGGGGAATACGCAGCAGTGAGTCGAGAGCGGAGCTGGCCTCGATGAAGCTCGACGGCGCCCGCGCCCCGTAGGTCAGATTGTGGGGGGTGCCGTACCTTGTCGATATCTATCTTGCGGCTTTGGCGCTTGGATACTGCGATGCTGCGGCTTACTGAGCTGCTCGTGTGTGCCCCGCGACCCCATCCGAAATGGACCCATGTATGATAGCGGCGGTCCTCGAAATGATGCGGGGCGTCGGTAGTGCACTGGCGGATCTTAATGCCTGCGTACATCATAGTCTGATTTGCACGGCATGTGTCGGAGATGTGGTCGAGATGCCCTGGGACATCCAGTAGTCCTTCGCGAGCTGGGTGTGGATGTAGTGGTCCAGGTGGCAAGTCACGTTCGGCGTGCAATTGTTCCACTGGTAGTAATTCAGGAGCCGCGTGATGTGATCCTGCATGTGCTGGCCCTCTGTGTTCTGCCTCGATGTCCTCGGTCTCCGCTCGGTGCAGGTGGTTCCGAATGGCACCCTCCATGGAGCCGCCCACGTCACACTTGTACAGACCTTCCAAGATCGCCAGCGCGAAGGGGGGCGCTGGCGACCCTATATCCTGCAGGCGTTTCTTGTCCTCTGGGGTGTCGCTCTTCCTGAGGGGGGGTCCAGGGTGTACATGTAGCCTTCGATCTCCTGCGTGATGGCTATGATCCCTGGGAGCTCTTTCCTCATCGTGTAGGTGTCCGTATTGTTGCTGCCATTCAGCCTGGTCTTGTGCGTCGTCTGAAGCAGCATGTGGCAAGTCACGTTCAGCGTGCAATCGTTCCACTGGTGGCAATTCAGGGGCCGCGTGGTGTAGTTCTGCTTGTGTTGGCCCTCTGTGTTCGTGAGGATGTTGAAATTGAAGCTCAGCGTCCAGTAGTTCGGGGTCAGCGTGTCGTAGTCCTGCCTGTGCTGGCCCTCTGTGTTCGTGAAGATGTTGAACTTGAAGCTCAGCGTCCAGTCCTGCACGTACTGGCCCTCTGTGTTCGTGAGGATGTTGAATTTGAAGTTCAGCGTCCAGTCGTTCAGGGTCAGCGTGTTGTAATCCTGCATGTGCTGGCCCTTTATGTTCGTGATGATGTTGGAGTTGATTTTCAGTGTCCAGTAGTCCTTCGCAATCTGGGTGGGGTAGTCCATGTGGCCAGTCACGTTCAGCGTGCAATTGTGCCACATGTGGCAATTCATGGGCCGCGTGGTGTGCCTGTGCTGGCCCTCTGTGTTCGTGATGATGTTGAAGTTGAAGCTCAGCGTCCAATAGTTCAGGGTCAGCGTAGCGAGTCCTGTGCTCAGCAGGTGCGCGGCGCCCGCGCTCCGGAGCACGGCCATGGCGGCCTGGCGGTGTGCGGGGCGTCGTCAAGCGGCCCCCTGCCTTTTGGGCATGGCAAGGGGGCGGTGACTGGAGGCCGCTGCTCCATCAATGACCTGAGCGCGCGGCAGCCTTTGATGATGATGATGATGATGATGATGATGATGATGATGATGATGATGATGATGATGATGATGAGGATGAGGATGAGGATGAGGATGAGGATGAGGATGAGGATGAGGATGGAGGATGAGGAGGAGGAGGAGGAGGAGGAGGAGGAGGAGGAGGAGGAGGAGGAGGATGGGAGTGCGGGCGCACGAATGATGTCAGGGGCGTCCTTGTCGTTGCTCTTGTGGACCCCTTCCTTTCTCGGCTGTAGCTGCTTTTTTTGGCTCAGAGACCTTCTCTGCGACCTGCGGCCTTGAGCTGCATGCAGCCCGGGGGCTTTCGTACTCTCTGGAGCGGCCCCATCACCGCGATAGTGCTGTCGCTGGGCTTGCGGAGGCTGCCCTGCCCCCCGGGCCCGCTGTGCCTGGGCCCGCTGGGTTGCGAGTGCAGCTGCCCTGATTCGGCGCCGTGCCCGGAGGCCGCGCCGTGCGTCTGCCCCAAGTGCCCGGAGGCAGCGCCCTGCCCGGAGTGCCCTGCCGTGGAGCTGAGCTGGGACAGCCGTTGGCCGGGCCTGGGGGCGTCCGCCGGCGGCGCGGCGGCGCCGCCTCCCGCGCCCGAGGACGCGCGCACGTTGTGGATAGACTACGACGAGCAGGGTGAGCGGTACAAGTCGTATCGAAAGGCTGTCCAGGAGAGCCACCACGTTCCCGACCAGCACTGGCCCTTAGAGGGCCCGTCGACTTTTCCTTCAGGTGCTGAAGCACATCGAGAGGAGCGGAGGAAACCCACGGCTGTGGCTGCAGCTGCGGGCGCGTACCATATTAAGCAGGTGGATGTGAACGACAGGGTGATGCACGAACTGACCTACTTGGTAGACATGATATTTTACGCCTCCACCTTCGACCAGGTGAACGCTCCCGCGCTGGGGAGTTTCGAGGTGCTGGCGCGGCGCTTTCAGACCATTTTGGACGCATCTGAGATTCCAGGGCGGACCCCGAACTGGCGGATGGCTCGTTTCTACATCAGACTGACGGCCGCCGTGGACGCCATCGCCCCCGAGCTGAAGCAGTACGGCGCCAAGCGCGCCAAGGAGGATATCGACTGGGAGACAGGCGCCAAGCGCGCCAAGGAGGATATCGACTGGGAGACAGGGGATCAGCGCGCGCGCTGGCCCCCTGGCGCTGGCGGCGGCGCCGGCAGCGAAGAGGCGTCTGAGGGCGCGGCCGGCGAGGGGCCGGAAGGCCGCGGGCGGGGTCGTGATGGTGGCCGCGGGCGAGGCAGGCCCGTATCGGCCAAAGCCAGGGGCCCCGCGGCCGCCAAGAAGTCATGAGCGAGGAAATGGCCGAGGGGAGTGGGCCCACTTCGGCGCGCAGCTGTCTTGGCCCGGTGCTGGGCGCCTCCCAGCCTCTCGCGGCGAACGCCACTTGTTCCCCTTGCCGCGGCTGGAGGAGCCGTCGCCAGCACGTGGAGGAGATCGCTTCAGTCGCGGGCTGCGAGGCCGCCACTTGCACGCGCGACTGGTGAACAGAGCGATCGACGCCCTGAACTGGTTGGCGAAGGCGGCCGGCTCGCCTGCAGCTGGCAGCGGCGGCGGCGCGGACATCCACGGCGAAGTGATTGCGCGCGTCGACGGACTGGCACGAGCCCAGGAGCTGGTGCCTGACGCGCCTTCGCCGAGAGCGGCCTATCTAGAGCTGCTCCGAGGTCGCGACTCATGCGAGGAGCCGAACCAGCCGAACATAGCTCCCTTCCAGCTCGGGCTCGCGTCGCTGCTGGAGAGCACCCAGGACGCCCCGCGCCTGGAGTGCCTGGAGCAGCTGCTCGACGCCGAGGGCTTGCGTTCTCTGGGGGGGTCGTGGAGAGCGGATGTTGCGCAGCGTCCCCGATTTCGAACGCCTCCGTCAAGGCAGCCCAGCGCGGCCTCATTTGGACCCCGCGTTCACAACGAGTAGGCGGCTGCTGGTTCGCTTCATGGGTAGGCTGCTCTCGATCGGCATGCCGCGATTCACGTCGGAGCCTGTTGAGTTCGTTGGGGCCTTCTTCGCGTCGGAGAAGGGCAGACAGAAAATGCGGTTGATTACAAATGCGCGCCCTGCCAACCAGTTGCTGCCTCCCCCACCTCGAGTGGATTTGCTGACGGCGGAGGGCCTGTCTCGCTTCTCGATCGTTGTCGATGACGACCCATGCCTGCTGAAGGGCGCCAGCTGGGGCATATTGCGGGCGCTCCGCCTGTGCCTCGGTGTCGGCGACGTGGAGAACTGCTTCGGATGTCTCTTCGCCTGCCCGGCCTTGACGGTCAACGAGCTGCGACTGGGCGTGATATTGAAACAGTTGTGGGCCGCGTGGCAAGCGGCGATGCTCTGATATATCCGCGTTGCCGGGCCCAGCCTATGGGCCGTTCGTGGTCGCTGCGTGTCTGCCGGAACGCCAGCGCGAACCCAGCGCGGCAGTGCGACCCGTTGCGGGAGGCTAGGCTCGCGACCGACCGGGGCGAGCCCGCGGTCTTCAGGCTGGGCGAGGATCGCGAGCAGGGCCTCTGGCACCACGTGTGCGTGGACCATCTGGGGGTGCTCGGGCGGGGCGCAGCGGCGGTCAAGAGGGCGCCGGACGAGAAGGCGGCGATCTTCGACAAACTGAGGCTCGACATCCACGAGGCGGAGCTCTCCGAGTCGAAGGGGTCGGCCCTCGGCGTCGTCGTTGACTGCGAGCGCATCTGCGCCTCCATCGCCGGCAAGCGGCGCTGCCGCCTGGAGGGCGCCGCCTGCGCCCCGCAGCGGGGCAAGCTCTCAGGCCAGGGCCTCGAGCGCCTCCTGGGCCATTGTACCTGCGTCGGCCTTGCGAGGGGCGAGGCGCTCAGCGTCTTCTCCGCCGCCTGCGCCTTCGCGCGGGCCAACTACTGGGAGCGGCAGGAGATGCGGCCGTCGGTGCGGGAGGAGCTCTGCTGCGCTTGGGGCCTCCTGGTCTTCCTCAGCAGCGACTGGGCGTCTCCCTGGAACCGCTGCGTCGCGGCCTCTGACGCGTCCGAGAGCGGCTTCGGCGTCACCTCCGCCATGATTGACGCCAGGGAGGTTGCCCGTGTGGGGCGCGTAGCAGAGCGGGGCCGGTTCCGCCTTGACCTGGAGCTGGCGCCGCGCCTACGTGCCTCAGCGTCTTCTCCGCCGCCTGCGCCTTCGCGCGGGCCAACTACTGGGGGCGGCAGGAGATGCGGCCGTCGGTGCGGGAGGAGCTCTGCTGCGCTTGGGGCCTCCTGGTCTTCCTCAGCAGCGACTGGGTGTCTCCCTGGGACCGCTGCGTCACGGCCTCTGACGCGTCCGAGAGCGGCTTCGGCGACACCTCCACCATGATTGACGCCAGGGAGGTTGCCCGTGTGGGACGCGTAGCAGAGCGGGGCCGGTTCCGCCTTGACCTGGAGCTGGCGCCGCGCCAACGTGCCGCGCAGCGCGCCGGCTTCGTCGACGACGAAGGCGCTGGGCCGCGGCGCCCGTCCGAGC